AAACATCCTTAAAAAGATAGTCCAGAAGAAAAAAATCAATGCCTCTATTCCTAAGATGTTTCAAACTGTGAGACCCATGGAAAATTGTTTCCCAACACATTCCATATTTGGATATACTTAAATGTATTCAACTTCCCACTCTGCACTCCCCCATTTGTAGCCATTCTTTTATTAAAAAGCACTACTGGGTATTTACCCCAAAGATACAAATGTAGGGATCCGAAGGGGTACGTGCACCCCAATGTTTATAGCAGCAATGTCCACAATAACCAAACGATGGAAAGAGCCAAGATGTCCATTGACAGATGAATGGATAAGAAGATGTGGCATACACACACACACACACACACACTGGAATATTATGCAGCCATCAAAAGGAATGAAATCTTGCCATTTGCAACGACACGGGTGGAACTGGAGGGTATTATGCTGAGCGAAATAAGTCAATCAGAGAAAGACATGTATCATATAACCTCACTGATATGAGGAATTCTTAATCTCAGGAAACAAACTGAGGGTTGCTGGAGTGGGGGGGGGTGGGAGGGATGGGGTGGCTGGGTGATAGACATTGGGGAGGGTATGTGCTATGGTGAGCGCTGTGAATTGGGTAAGACTGTTGAATCACAGACCTGTACCTCTGAAACAAATAATACATTATATGTTAAAAAAAAAAAAAAAGAAGAAGAAGATAACAGGAAGGGAAAAATGAAGGGGGGGAAATCGGAGGGGGAGATGAACCATGAGAGACTATGGACTCTGAGAAACAAACTGAGGGTTCTAGAGGGGAGGGGTGTGGAGAGATGGGTTAGCCTGGTGATGGGTATTAAAGAGGGCATGTATTGAATGGAGCACTGGGTGTTACACACAATGAATCATGGAACACTACATCAAAAACTAATGATGTAATGTATGGTGATTAACATAACATAATAAAAAAAAAGCAGTACCAACTGCTGTAATATTCCTTATGTATTATTTATTTCTATTGGATAATTTCCCAGGGGGAATGATTAGGTAGGAATAGATATATTTAATTTTAACATATTTTGCCTATTTTCTAGACCAAGAGGCTGTTAATAGTAACATTTTGAACAGGCGCGTCCAAGAATGACTCACTCCCTAATGTGGAAAAAAAAATAAATGGTAAGCTTCATATTCTTTAGTTTAATCTTTCCTAGAAAAGCAACTGAACACAGAAACTATAGAATTTAATTAGAACTTCTTGGTTTGTTTGGGCTGCTATAACAAAAGCAGACAGGGGGCTTATAAATGACAAATTTATTTTCCATGGTTCTGGAGACTGGCAAGTCCAAGGTCAAGGCGCTGAGTGATTTGGTGTCTGATGAGGACCTACTTCCTGGTTCCTAGAGAGTCAACTCTTCACTGTGTCCTCGCATGCTAGAAGAGATAAAGGAGTTTTCCATGTTTCATTTTATCAGTGCATTAATCCCATTCATGTGGGCTTCATCATGACCGAAGCACCTCCCCAAGTCTGACCTCCAAATACCATCACATTGGGAATTAGGTTTCCACATATGAATTTTGGAGGGACACAAACATTCAGTCTATAGCAAATTTAATAAAAAACCTTAAATGTAATGGTTAGACCATTGATATAGCTGTTTTGAGAAGAAAAAGCTCTCATATAACCATTATATTTTATCAGGACAATGAGAGGAGGCTAGGAAATATTTACATGCTTGTTTCCATAAAATTTAAAAGTCTACACTTAGCCTATATCTCATCATTATGAAATTTGAGTTTTTGTCTAAAGTTTATTTAAAAAGGACAAAGATTTTTTTCTTTATTAAGAGATTCTAAGGACTTTTATAATTCCAAGTATATTTTTTTAAATAGGATAGTACATTTATTAATGTTTCTTGTAAAACTGTATTCCCTTGTTTTTAGTTATGTTTCTTGTATGAGATTGAGGTTATCTGCTGGACATAATAATTAACTCACTCTAAGACCTCACTGATTTATTCATAACTGCCTTGGTAGTGGCTTGAACTTAGTAGCATCAAAAACACAGAATTTTTTTAAATAAAGAGTTATTTATTTATTTGAGAGAGAGAGCGCACATGCACGTGTATGCGGGGGGGAGGGGCAGAGGGATAGAGAGAATCTCAAGCGGACCCCCCACTGACCGAGGAGCCCAATGCAGGGCTTGATCCCACGACCCTGAGATCATGACCTGAGCAGAAGTCAAGAGCCAGAAGCTTAACCAACTGAGCCACCCAGGCACCCTCACACTAAGAATTTTTGTTTAGCTTTCTACTATTACCAAATCTTTCTTAAAATAAATTTTGTTATTTAACATATTCTATTATTTTTTTAAATTTTTCTTTATTTATTTGAGAGAGAGAGAGAGAGAAATCATGAGCAGGAGAGAGGGGCAGAGGGAGAGGGAGAAGTAGACTCCCCACTGAGCAGGAAGCCTGAAATTGGGCTCGATCCCAGGACCCAGAGACATCATGACCTGAGCTGAAGGCAGACGCTTAACCAACTGAGCCACCCAGGTGCCCTAACACACTCAATTCTAACAAGCAGTAACTATTCAAGTTTTTCCCCTTTAGAAAAATGTGTATCAGTAACAGGTACTCTCACTTAAAATTTTTACTCAACTAATTGGGTAAAAACAGGACTTTATTATTGTATTAATCCACTCTGACTTAAATTCAGGTCCTCATGATTTTTATTTATTTATGTCAGTCAAATATTATCTCTGATCAAAGATCATAGCAAAATGGAACTAACTGGCATTGATGAGAATCAATAGAATCAACAAACAATATAGATCTTATGGACTGCAGATATGAAAATTATGAGATGTAAGACATGTATAAAATATTTTAAAAATTGAGTGTAAAATATTTCTTAAACTAACAGGTGGAGTTCAACAAACTACAACTTCAAAGAATAAAAATATCACCTTCAAATTAAAAATTATAGGATGATCAGATTAACACAGATGAAAAATCAATAAGTAAACTGGAAGTTTCATCACAAAAATACTGAAAAATGCAGCACAAAGGCAAAAGAAAATGAAAATTTCTTTTTTTTTAATATTTTATTTCATTTATTTGAGAGAGAAAATGAAAGAGAGAGAGCACAAGAGCGGGGAGGGTCAGAGGGAGAAGCAGACTCCCTGCTGAGAAGGGAGCCCAATGCAGGACTTGATCCTGGGACTCCAGGATCATGACCTGAGCCGAAGGCAGTCACTTAACAAACTGAGCCACCCAGGCGCCCAGAAAATGAAAATTTCTTAAGAGAAGGGATGAGATAGGGAAAGTAGAATAAAAGGGCCTAAACTTTGTCTTAACAGAGTTTGAGACAAGAATAGAGTTCATGGAGCAGAGCTAACTTTTGAAAAGATAATGACAATTTTCCAGGAATAATGAAAGGTAAGAATTTATAGACAAAGGAAATATAGTGCATTCCAAATGGCATAAATAAAAATGAATCTATGACTATATATCTTTCATGAAAGTTTTAGAACTCCAGAGACAAAGAGAAGTTCATAAAGGCAACTTGAGAGAATAAACAGATTTTCTCAAAAACAAAAAATTGAACTAACAGTAAATGCCTTTTTAACAGAAATAACAGAAGCCAGGACAGAGTGAAATGATGAAATTGTCAACCTCGAATTAGATAACCAGCCAAACTCTCTTCAGTAACAAGGGCAAAATAAAGACATATTTACATAAATAAGAACTGAGAGTTTCTACCATTAGCAGAATTTCAGTTAGCCAACTTCTAAGGTGTGTTCTTCAACATAAAAGGAAATTACTTCAAAAGGAAGATCAAATATGCATAAAAGTAAAGAAATTGCACAAATATAAGTGTACAAAATAGTCAAGCTACTGAATTGTTCAAGAAAAACAGAAAGGAGATAGGGCTAAATAATATTTGTAGTGGAAAAGAGAACATAAAGATTAAAAAGATAATATCAGAATTCTATAAACCTTTTTTTTTTTTAAGATTTTATTTATTTATTTGGCAGAGAGAGACACAGCGAGAGAGGGAACACAAGCAGGTAGAGTGGGAGGGGGAGAAGCAGGCTTCCCGCTGAGCAGGGAGCCCGATACGGGGCTCGATCCCAGGACCCTGGGATCATGACCTGAGCCGAAGGCAGACGCTTAACGACTGAGCCACCCAGGCTCCCCACTATGAACCTTTAAATAGAAGAAAATTTTAAATTCTTGGGGAAAAAAAGTTGCACAACAAAAGAATAATCTTATAATAAGAAGAATTTAATAATTAGATTAAGAATAATCTGATGGGCTTTAGGATATTCTACCCCAAAATATGGCACATTGGCATATTAAATATTTTAAGCTGAAGGAGCTTGAGAAAATGGCAGAAGTGGGACAGTCTCTCTGACTTCCCCCCTCTTCTCCCCAAAACAGGTCATAAAACCCTCATGTGGGATGTGCCTTCCTTATACAGAGAGGAAAGAAGCATCCTTATCTCCAAAGACAAAGGAATGCCAGGAAGAATCCAAACATAGGATTTACTGTTTTCCCCAGTTTACTACAATTTCTTCAGATTCTTTAACCTATCATATTTCTACTGCCTACTCTTCATCAAACCTGCCATAAATGCACTCAATTCTTTTTTTTTTTTATCTTCATCTCTTTATGAAGGCTCCCATGTCACATAAAATTTATATTAAATAAATTTGTATGCTTTTCTCCTGCTAATCTGTCTTGGTCAGTTAAATTTTCAGACTTAGCTGGGGACCCTAAGAGGGTCAAGGAAAATCTTTTCCTCTCCTCCAAATCTTACAACAATTTAAAATTGAACCAATGTTTTTTTAATTATGTTATGTTAATCACCATACATTACATCATTAGTTTTTGATGTCGTGTTCCATGGTTCATTGTTTGTGTATAACACCCAGTGCTCCATTCAATATGTACCTTCTTTAATACTCCCACACTGGGAGTTCAGTTGGATGACAAATGCAAGGAGATGCTGAAGAGGCACCCACTGTCTTTCATGCTGGACCTGAAGTGCAAAGATAACAGCTTGCTTCAGCTGACTTTCTACTACCTCATGAACCTCAACATCATGACGGTAAAAGCCAAAGTGACAACTGCCACGGAGCTGATCACCCGCATCAGTGCAGGTGACTTGCTGTCTCCTGACTCAGCCCTGAGCTGTTTGTGTCCAGAGGACCACAGAAAGAAAACTCCAAATCCAGCCAATCAGTATCAGTTTGATAAAGTTGGCATCCTGACTTTGAGAGACTACATATTTGACCTAGGTCACCCCTATTTGTGGGTACAAAAGCTGTGTGGCCTCCACTTCCCCAAAGAGCAGCAGTGTGGGTCGCCGGCATTTCGTGGTCTGCTCCTCCTCAGCATCCGAGCCGCTCTCGTCATCTTGGGAGTCTTCAGGAGGCTTAAAGAGAGCCTTGGCTTCATCCACACTGCCTTCAATTGTCACAGACAAGGTCTTATCACAGGCCTGCCCATATGCAGTGGCTTGGACAAAGAGGACACAGAGGGGATGTGGCAGGTGTCTAGCTGTCTCATATTGCTTGTGAGCCTGGTCAAATGGCATAAACAGGTATTCTTGCACGGGGAGGGAAGCCTGCAGGATGCTACTGAGGCGAGGCTGGAGGTTGCTTGGTACTCCTTCTTCACCTCAGTCTCCTTAAGGATCTTCTCCTTGTTGGACAGGCACTCCTGGTACTTCTCTGCCAGCCTTTTCCGCTGTTCCAGTTCCCAGTCCAGACGTGCAAGGGTTTGCTGGTGAGGGTCTCCCATGGTGACTGCATCCTTGCTAATATCGGGAGGAGCCTCCTTATAAAATTCCTCTAAACTGACCAGATCAATTTCTTCATGCTTTGACTTAAACTCCAGACATTTGGTGATCTCTTTCTGCAGGTGCATCACCTCATACAACAGGTTCTGCTGCTGCAGGTGATAAGCGTCTACTTTCTGCTTGGCCTCATGCGTCTGATCTCTTCCTTTATTTAACCTGATGTGGGCTAATCGATTAAGCTTCTTTAGAGCCACGAAACGCACACAGCTCTGGATCCTCCGAACTTCTATCTCAACTGCCACATCCTTGCCTTCTCTGCTCTTCAGGTCCTGGATCTCAGCCATGAGCCTCTGCAACTCCTGGCATGTGTACTTGTACAGTTCATAGTCTCTGCCAGGGTCCCGCGGGTTCACTTCAGCCTCCTCACTGTAGTATTTACCTTTCTGCTCTGTGTCAGAATGGTTACGCTTCCCTTCAGCTGGAGCTCCATCACTTCGGATCACTTTGGGCTTCTGTTTTTTTTTTTTTTTAAGATTTTATTTTATTTATTTATTTGAGAGAGAGAGAATGAGAGACAGCACGAGAGGGAAGAGGGCAGAGGGAGAAGCAGACCCCCCGCCGAGCAGGTAGCCCGATGCGGGACTCGATCCCGGGACTCCAGGATCATGACCTGAGCCGAAGGCAGTCGCTTAACCAACTGAGCCACCCAGGCGCCCTGGGCTTCCGTTTTTTGCTTGATTCTGATGACATGGTTGTTTGGTGAGGTCAGGAGGAAACAGCAGAGACCGCTCGGAGCTCTGAACCATTCGTGGCAAGCTAAGTCAAATATTATCTTAATAATAAAACCAGATGTATCAGTTGTCTATTGTTGCTGTAACAAATTACAACAAGCTTTGTTGCTTAAAACAGCACACATTTTTATCTTAGAGTCCTAGAGTTCAGAAGTCTGACCCAGATCTCACCAGAGTAAGATCAAGGTGTGAGCAAAGCTGTTTCTTTCTGGAGCTTAGAGTCCACCTGTGTTGCCTAGCTTATGGCTTCTGCCATCTGCAAAGGCATCAATGGTAGGCTGAGTTCTCACACTGTCTCTGCTTCTCCACAGCTGGGGAATGTTCTCTGCTTTTAAGAACTGAAAGGATTAGATTGGGTCCACCTGAGTAATCAAAGCTAACCTTCCCTTCTCCAGATCCTTAATGTTAATCACATTTGCAAAGTTCCTTTTCCCAAGTAACATAGATTCCAGAGATTAGGATGTGGACATCATTTGGTGGGTGGGGTCATTTTTCTGCCTACCACACATAACAAGTAAATGCGAGAAAGGAAAATTAGAGGTCATGAACTTACATACAAGTATTTCTTTTAAGATTTTATTTATTTATTTTTAGGGAGCGTGTGCGTTTATGCACGTGCGTGACTGGGGGGAGGGGCAATGGGAGAGGGAGAGAAAGAACCTTGAGCTGACTCTACGCTGAGTGCAAAGGCCCACAGAGAGGCTCAATCCCACAATCCTGAGGCCATGACCTGAGTCAGAGTCCCACCCTCAACCGACTGAGCCACCCAGGTGCGCCTATATGCAAGTATTTTATTTAAAGATTTTTATTTATTTGACAGAAAGAGAGACAGCCAGAGAGGGAACGCAAGCAGGGGGAATGGGACAGGGAAAAGCAGGCTTCCCACAGAGCAGGGAGCCCGATGCGGGGCTCGATCCCAGGACCCTGGGATCATGACCTGAGCCGAAGGCAGATGCCCAACGACTGAGCCACCCAGGCGCCCCTATATGCAAGTATTTTAAAACAATATTTTAGCAAAAGAATACTTTGTGAATCTTAATCCATGATCATATTATGATTAAGAAATTCAACATTGTTGAATAGCTTAGAAAAATCTATAAATGTAATTCAGTATGTTAAAAGAATAAGATATAAGGGCACCTGGGTAGCTCAGTAGGTTGGGAGCCCGACTCTTGATTTAGCTCAGGTCATGGTCTCAGGGTCATGGGATTGAACCCCACCTTGGGCTCCATACTCAGCAGGGAGTCTGCTTGAGATTCTCTCTCTCCCTTTCCCTTGGCCCCTCCCCTTGTTCACACGCCCATTCTCTCTCCCTCTCTCTTTCTAAAATAAATAAATAAATAATATCTTTTAAAAAACAGAATAAAAAGACATATAATCATCTCAGTAGCTACAACAATTGCTAGAATTCAATTATTTATGATCTTAAAAACTTAGTAAACCAGAAATAAGAGTTTCTGTAATCTGATAAAAGAGGCCAACAGAAAACCTATATTAAACATCAGCCTTTGAGACAAAATATTCCTTTGAACATGGAAGTCTAAGACAGTCAAGTAGGACGAAAAGAAAGATAAGTTCTAAAATTTGGGGGAAACAAACTAAAATCTTTATAATTTCACAGATGAAAAAAACCCCAAAGGATCAACAGAATTAATGAGACAATATGGCCAGGTACTTGGAAAAAATTAATATGTAGAAACCTGTATATAGTTGCAATAAAGTGTTAAAAATGAAATTTTAAAATAGATGTCATTTTGTTATGTCATCTTAGAGTACAAGATGCATAGAAATATATTCAATGAAAATGTGTAAGGCCTTCATGGAGAAAACCTTTAAATATTATTGAGAGACATTAAAGAAGATCTAAATAAATTAAAGCTTTGCCACGTTCAAAGAAGACTTCCTATTATACAGATGTCAGAATCCCCAGCTATTCCACAATTTACCATCTAGAGTAACATTTTTACCTCTGGATCTTGAGACAAGTATAAGAATTTTCTAACAACAATATTCTAAAAATATTTGGGGGCACATGGGTGACTCAGTCAGTTAAGCGTCTGCCTTTGGCTCAGGTCATGATCCCAGGGTCCTGGGATTGAGCCCTGCATCAGGTTCTGTGCTTAGTGGGGAGCCTGCTTCTCCCTCTCCTTCTGCCTGCAGCTCCCCCTGCTTGTGTTTGCTCTCTCTTTCCCTCTGCCAAATAAATAAATAAAATCTTTAAAAATAAATAAAGAAAAAATAAAAATACTTGAAACTTAAATAACCATGAACAGAAGATATTATAAATAAATAGGGGTATAGTGATAAACTGGAATATTATACAGGAGTGAAAATAACGAGACTTTAAACACATGTGGGATAAAATGATAAAACATTATATATGAGATTCAATTTTGTAAGACTCTAAGAAAAACTAGGAATATTTTGGAAAACTTAAAAAATGAACAATAAATTCAAAATTCAGGAGAGTGATTGCCTTAGGGGACAGGAAGATAAGATATGAAAAAATATACGAGTATACACAGGTAGTTCCAAAGTTGTTGGAACTAGTTTATAGATATAGATATAAATCTAGAAATTGATTGTTGTTTATTTTATTCTTATGCCTCAGAACTTATGCATATGTTACATATATGTTATGTATGTTAAACACTATATAATAAAAATTTTAAAAGTTTTATGTTACAAATAAGAGGAACAATATTATTACAATAAAACAAAACACAACAACTATAATGTTCTCACCATCAATGATAAACTTGGTTACTATTTTGTTGTATTTCCTTCCAGTACAAACACACACACACACACACACACACACAATGTTTCCCTTATTTTATTTTTTTAAATAGTATCATATTATTTAGACTATTAGACATTTTCTCTTTTTACCAACATTGTGAGCATTTCCTTTTTTTCTTAAATGGTGCTTCAAGATAGAACTTCTGAGGGCTCCATTATCTTAATCACTGTAACTTATTTACCCAGCACACCAGTCTTGACATTGACATTGCATTCTTAATTGTTATGGCTGTGATTAATATTCTTGCACTTAGTCCTTTGTAAATATAACCTTGATTATTTCCTTAGGGTAAATTTCTAGAAATAAAACTGATGAATCAAAGTATACAGATTTCGGTGGTCAAGTCAATCTACTTTAGACTGCACCCAGAGGTATGAGGCATAATTTTTCCTCTCTCACATATTGTAGTATTAAATTTTGTATTTAGCATTAAATTTAGAACCATAGTATTAAAATAACACCATGTAAATTTTGGGAGGAATAATGAACCTGGTCAATGGATAAGTCAACATGCCATTTTCTTATCTTTCTCTTTCCCTTCTGTCTTTCATTCGTATACATAAAAAAACAAAAATGAAAACACAAATACCAACACTATAGATCACCAGGTATTGGGAGAAAACCAAAAGAACAAAGAAGGAAACTGATATTCTAGGCAAAAGAAAGATTTTTTTTCAAAGGGGAATTTAAACGAATCATCCTCCACAAGATTCTGGAGAATATTTTATCAATAAAACAAAAATATGTTGCTATGAGAAGAAAAGCCAGAGAACCAAAAGCTTTGTTGGAACTTAAAACTATGCTTCTAAAAATAAAAATATGTTAAAGCCATGATTGTGGAAATAAAATGATTCATAAAGAGATTGAATAAAAGAATAGTCCTGGTAGAGGAACCTAGTCACATCAAGGAAAATCTCCCAGAATGAAAAGCAAAAATTGATGAAAATTGGGTTATGGATGTGAAAGTGTTTTGGGTATTAAGCTACTACACACATATAAGGTGGCATTAGTAATAGGTAGTGGAACATAATATACAATGGAAGACTTCTACATATTCGGACAGAAGATTGGGACAAATATGTTTACCTAATATATAAAGATGTGAGGATGTCCATGTGTGTTATCTGATTGAAGAGTTGAGTTGTCTAATTTGACTAAGTCACTTTCTCTTTCAGAAGACACCTTTTATTATGTAATTATTTCTCAACATTGTGGAAATCACATAGGTTCCTAGAAGTTACAAGATGCAATTTCATTCAGGCTGGAGACACGGGTAGCATGGAGTTCCATATATGGTCTGATACTTCTGTGATTGTAGGTAAGCAATGCCTGGATAGGTATACACAAGAGACCAATGAAGGTCATTAGAGAACATGGGTCAGTTTTACCAGCTTCTTCAAGGGTTGACTTAAGTTCAGACATAAAACAAGGATTCTGCATTGTTGTCATTTCATCTCAACTCAATTTTCCTTTTTAGTGACTTTAAAACCAAACAGCACAGACAATTTCATTTGTCTGTCAAGCTCCCTGTAATACACTTAGGTTTTCATTATTATGCAATTTGAGTGTGTGCACATGGATTTTTCATAAAGACATGTGCTTCCTACAAGATATAAATGTTCAACTTGACCCCAAACTCCTAAAATAGTCCCCCAAACATATGTGAAACCCGATAGTAGTTCCAGAAAGGCCGCTAATACCCAGGCTTTCAAACCACAGATATGTGTTACTCAGTGAGAAAGCACCTTTAGCCTAGTCTCACTGCTTAGTAACAAGAAGTTAGGTTGGTGGCATACACCATTTCCAGCAAAATGAGGAAACCTAAACCACTGACTAACGTTGTCAACTCCAGAAATTGGGATTAGGTTATGGAGAAAATAAAAATTTTAAATGAAGTGACCCTGATAAATATTGACTTTCTGGCAAGCTTGGATCTCTTCATGCTAAATAAAAATATGAGGTTTCTTAGTGACACTTAACCTATGAAGTCATCTCCAATAATGTTATAATATATTGGACAAGAACTGCAAAACAAATGATTCCCCTAACTGAGCCAAATTATTACAACAGCCTTTTACTAATTCTCTCCATATTATGCTTTCCTCTTGCCAAT